CGAACCAGTTACCAGCGCAAAGAGGTTAAGTGCACTTCGAGAATATTTCGCTCAAAATTGCAATAATTTCTCGGTTTCAAATATATTGAAATATAACGCAGACAAAATAAATAATAAATTTATTACTTCTTAGTAATTTCTATTCAGTGACGTACCGATGAATTCAAAAAGAAGAATTATTATATACGGCTCGGTCACTCGTTACGGTCCGCGAACCGATAGCGCAAGGGGTATAAACACGACAGGAAATTCAGCGAAGAAAATCGAAGGCGTTTATCGAGCGTTCATCGCGATAAAGGGAGAGTCGAAAGGAGTATGAAAAGTGATAAAACGTTCTTTTCTGCGTTTTGCCCGCTTTACCATTTCAACGTACGTACGTACATACACGTGTCACTTCGTTTCTCCTCCTCCATATATGTACGTATATACGCGCGAGTGGCACACGTGTGTACATATATTTCGAACAAAGGCCAGATAAGCCAGGTGTGAATTCAAAAAAAACACACTTTATGCACTTCTCCGTGTTCGCGGCGGTGGCTCACGTGTTCTTGGAATATATTGCCTCTCGCAACGTATTTCACACACATACCCACCTCCGTCGCGGTTTTATGCAAAATATTGCTTGTTCGCTATTTAAACCGCGTCTTCCACCTTCGGAGGAAGGCAGGTTTCCGTCTCGAATTTCCTCGGAAAATTCCACGAGAGTTTGCTGCCAACAAGCAAGAATCTCGCGAGATTATATACGCGCGATTATATGATCTTGCAAGGTTATATACGCACGTAAGATTTCGACTCGTACGAAAATCTCGAAGGGAGACAGACTAGGAACTGTCTGTTGAGTTTTGATCGTTGAGTTGGCGTGTCGCGTACGAATTAGGTCGGCCAGCGATTTTTCTGGCGAGAGAAAACGGAATACAGCAGCGCTCTCTTACGATCGAACTGTCTCGAGTGTGTTTGATGAGCGTCAACTGGCACGTGCGGCGAATTCTATTACTTCTAAACGAACTTAACACTTTAACATTTTATTTAAACTGGCTTAAACCTACTTTAAATTTAATATACTTAAACTATTTTAAATTTAATACGTACATACATTTAGACTAAATGAAACAGTATTTATCAAATGATTGTGGTTAACTTAAATTTCTCGGATTGGAATTTCTGTAAAAGCAGTTGTTAATCAATAATTATCAATAACTGAATGGAAACCTTGAATACAGATCTTGTAACATTTTCATCAATATTAAATTAACGGTACACATAGTGTACATTCTATATAATCATATTAATACATATAAATTGGATATTGCATTTGGTATTTGATATAAAATTTGCCCAACTTTGATCGACGTGTGTCCGAAATATCGGTGTTATGTAGCGTTTGTTTCGTTTCATGTTTCACACGGCCACGCGAGCAAGGTAGAGTGGGGATAGTCTCAATTTCAAGACTTGGTGGGGATAGCTAAGTGGGGATGTACTACTGTACTTAAACGTTGCAGCGCGAAACTGTACGCGGGGAAACAGGCGTACGACCGCGGCGGGAAACAAAGACGGACAGTTAGACGCGTGAATTTTATCGCGGCGGAAACCATTCTTCGCGGGCCTCGTAAAAAGTCAGCACGGACGCGCTAACAGAAAAAAAAGAGCGCCCAACAGCGAGAATACAGTTTCCGGCCGCGCGTGCACCACGTAAAAAACATTTCTTTCTTTTCTACGAGTGGCATCCTTCGAGCCACGCTCGTTGACGAATTACGATAAAAATTTGGCGAGGCTTCCGCCAAATTCACGTGTCCGCGCTACTGGAAGATGAGAATTTCTAAAGAAATCAAGAAAAATTTTGTATCGCGATCTATATAATTGGTTAAGAAATTCTCCTTGTGTTCTTACGATTTTTTTTTTTTTCTTTTTTTTTCTTTAATACGTGCCTGGCGGCTTGCGAGCCATGGGGAAAAGCACCCTCCATACTTATTTCGTTCTGTCGTCGAACCTCACCAACCGTTTTTGATGACAAAAATTAAAAATACTTTTCTGTGTTTAAAGTAAAGTATTAAATTCAACAAAATTAAAGATAAATTAAACAAATTTAATACTCTTTTGTTTAAAATGAAGTAATAATTGTTCGTTGCGATCCCAGTTTAATTACAAAGTATAGAAAGTTGAATTACGAGTTGAATTACGAAGTTGCATGCATGAAAGGAGATCACGGGAAAATATTTAAATTAATGTAGGTGGCTAGTCTACATGCGCCGGAGGAAAAGAAAATTACTAGCGAACAGAGCAATAATAAACTCTATTAATAATGTGTTTTATTCCATTTGGTACATCGATGGTATAAATGGACACTTACTTTATCAGTAATTTCCAAGAAGTCGAGACCTTTTGCGAAAAAGCTCGATCGATTCTCTCCCCCCCTTTGGCTAAATGGAAACGCGTACAGTTCAGAGTTAAAAATTTCCCATTGGAAACATAGAGAGAGAGAAAGAGAGAGAAAGGGAAAAGAAAAAAGGAAAAAGAAGCGGCATAAGAGGTCTATCTCTTTGATATCGAATATTCGGATGGTTGGCACGAGCAGAGAGGGACGAACAGTCAAGATAATACTCGAACCGTTGCGCGTTGCCTGGCCCCCGTGAATAGTTACACGTTCGATTGCCACGGCCATGAATGTCTATCGAATCGACTCGAGGCTTTCGCAGCAGGATCCATGTAAATACCAGTATCAAGGTTTCGAGTAGGCATTAGAGTAGGTATTCAGTTTGCGTCGTGCTCGTTCGGCTACAATGCCTCGAAATGTCGGTTGAGTTTCACGCGGTCCTATTTTTCCCCTCCCTCCGCAACGGGGAAACTGTATTGAACGCGAATAGAAGGAAAAGAAACGTATCGGCTATGAATACAAATAGAACTGTCCAAGATATGCGTTGATACGTTCCGCACGTGTTACCATCTCCGGCTACTCGATGCAACGCCCCGGCATTCCCCGGCAATAACTATCTTATCAACCATACAGCCGTTTAACCCCTCCCAAGATAACGTCCTCCCTACACACGGTTCCAGATATAAAGTTTCGCGTGGATTTTTTTTCGAAATTTCCGTCTTGCGAATTACATGGATGACCTAACCCAACTTAAAGCTAAACTAGAGTCGAAATTTTAAATATCGATTAATGTGACCTAATTTCTGTGCATTAGGACCAATTTAAATCAAACGTGAAACTAAACTAAATTAGTGTCGGATTTTTATCGATTAAAATCTCCATGGTGACCTAATCCTTTGTGCATTGGGAGGATCAGGGATCAACCTTAAACCTAACCTAAACCTAACTTAATCTAAGTCTAATAAAAACCTAAACTAGTGTCGGATTTTTGTCGATTAGAACCACCATGGTGACCTAATCTCTGTGCATTGGGGAAATCAGGGACCAACTTAAACCTAACCTAAATCAGTGTCGCTTTTTTATCGATTAAAACCTCCATGGTGACCTAACTTTTATACATTGGGCAGATCAGGGACCAACCTAAACTTAACCTAAACTAGTGTGGAATTTGTATCGATTAAAACCTTCATAATAACCTAATCTCTGTACATTGGGAAGATCAGGGACCAACTTAAACCTAACCTAAACCAGTGTCGCATTTTTATCGATTAAAATCTCCATGGTGATCTAACTTTTATATATTGGGGAGATCAGGCACCAATTTAAACCTAACCTAAATCAGTGTCGAATTTTTATCGATTAAAACCACCATGGTGACCTAACCTCTGTGCATTGGGGAGATCAGGGACCAACTTAAACCTAACCTAAACCACTGTCGCATTTTTATCGATTAAAACCTCCATGATGACCTAACTTCTGTACATTGGAGAGATCGGGGATCAATTTAAACCTAACCTAAATCAGTGTCGAATTTTTATCGATTAAAACCTCCATGGTGACCTAACTTTTATACATTGGGGAGATCAGGGACCAACCTAAACCTAACCTAAATCGTTTAGATCTTTTCGGCCTCATTGGCCAACAAAAATTTGTTGATTTGTATTTTTCTATCAGTTCAATGTAACCTATATCGTTTACGAGGTTGATGTTGAAATAACTTTTATATTGATTAAAAAAATATATTTACATTAATTGAAAGAATATATGAAAACTTTTTGAGAACACTAAGCTTGTTTTTTTTTTTTTTGTCAATATCTAGTTTGATACAGGCAATGGCAATACGAAGAGTATTTTCAAGCAACTCTACATTTTTTGTTTTTATTTTATTCTCCGTGTGCTTCATACAAGAGAAAGCTTGCTCGCAAATAAAAGGCACATTATGAATATTCATGGTTAAAATTATTCAAATAATAAAATTCTTATTCAATTATTCCGATTTTCGTTATACAGCATGGAATCGACGAACACGTCTGCTTTCGACACGATTCATATATACTTTTTCATACGATGAGAAGCTTCGACACGGGCAGTAGTTTTGTCGATGAAATTTCAGAAACGAAGGCGAGGAAAAAGAAAAAAA